CATAAGAAAGGTCATAAGTCCTATGAGTGCAAGATAAAAAATGGGGGAGGAGCAAAGATAAAAGAGAAGAAGCAAACAAGCAAGCTCTCCAACACCTACACCAACAAGGTGAACAAGAAGGCCTCCACACCATGCTTATTAAAGAAGAAGAAAAATGACAAGGTGATAGCCATCAAGGTGAACAAGCAAGCCAACAATGGGGTCAAACGCTTTTGGGTGCCGAAGGAAATCATTTCCAACATGAAGAGCACCAAGAAGGTTTGGATCCCGAAAGGGAAGTGAGAAGTCCAATGGACAATAGGCAATTTGGAGACTTGGCAAAGTATGGATGCATTTCATGGGGGGCATCATGATGGATAAAATCATTGCCAAGTGGGTTAGTGAATACTATGGACCCAAATTTCCCTTCCCATGTTAGGTAACTAGATTCAATTTCCTTCAAATAATATCAATTTGCATTTCCTATAAGTGGTATTTCTTACAAATTGGTATCTTTAAGCATCTAGTTATTTTTTATGCCTATGTTTGCATTTGTATGCTTACATCTTTTGTCATGCATACACTAGGTATATCTTATGGTAGGCTTGCTCGGTTTCATTCTTAACCCTCGGAGCAAACCTACATGCTTGTCTTTTAATTGTTCATCTAATATGTGCCAAAGTCCAAATTATAGATAATTTCTCTCGAATATCATCTTCGAAAATGATTATCACATTCATGAGATGTTATCTTTCAAGTGGTATTATTGATTCTAAAATCAATGTGCATGACTTCTACAAGAATCCCACACTTGTGTGCACAAATTTAGGGAGAGATTACTCTATAAGTTGGATGCTTTGAGACTAACACATTTTCAAGCTTATCATGTGTGTAATAGTCTCATTGCAAGGAAAATGGAGTCCCCGGAGGTAAGCATCATACTCCAAATATTCACCACCTATTGTAAGTTGTAGAAATCAAATTGGTTTCCACATGTGGTATTTCTAAACCGATATCATCATGTTGATTTTATTTTGATATTTATATGCTTTCTCCATGCATTATATAGATTAAATTCCCTTGAGCAATAATTTGCCAAATATGCATATGCCTTGCTTTCTACCATATGTATGCATGTATTTAGGAGGAGCTTAATCTATATAATGTGAGAGTCAAATTTTGTGACCTATTTCACTCTACACACAAAGGATCACAAAATTTGACCCTCCCTTGTGCGACTAATGTCTTCCTTTTTGGTGTTTGATTCCAAAGGGGGAGAATTTAGAGAACCAAAAGCAAGCATTAACTTGTAGGGCCATAAACTAGACAATTTACAAATGGTAATGGTCTACAAGTGGTAATGGTCCAAGAAAGGGAGGATAGTGGATTATGGATTAGTCTATGTAATGGGGAGAATTTGTAGGAAGCAAGGCTTAAATCCATAATGCCACATGGGAACATTTTGCAAGGGCAAGATAAGTTTTTATGTAGTATCTTTTAGTCTTACAAGTAGTATCTTTTAGCATCATATAACCTTGCCGCTTACATTGCATCCTAGCAAGTAGATAGTTTTTAAATTCCAAATTTTTATTATTTACTTGCTTTGGTCGTGTTGTCATCAATCACCAAAAAGGGGGAGATTGTAAGGAAAATGGACCCTTGGCCCATTTACTTTGGATTTTAGTGTTTGATGACCAACACAACCAAATTGGACTAATGAATTTGCATGTGATTGTTTTGTAGTTCAATAGGATGCAAGACGTGACTTGGACGAAGGCGACGTGATGATCCGATGATCAACACCATAAGCAAGACCTTAGAAGTACAAGAGAAGACCCAAGATATCAAGCAAAGTCCAAGTATGAAGATAGGAACCAAGTCGTACGCAAGATCGTGAAGAAACGAGCTCACAGATGTGACCGGACGCTGGACCGGACGCTGGTAGCACAGTGACCGGACGTCCGATCAAGAGGCTCGGCCGAAGCAGTGACCGGACACTGGACCGGACGCTGGCGGCAGATCGACCGGATGCAGGACAGCAGAGTCCGGTTGAGTACAGAGAGGTTCCAGAGCGGCGAAAATACGACCGGACGCGTCCGGTGGCATGTGACTGGATGCTGGCAGCGTTCGATCAGTTAATCACAGTTCCAACGGTCAGGACAACCGGACGCGTCCGATCAGGACATGATCAGCGTCCGGTCAGTAGCAGAAAAGCGGGATTTCGTCCCCAACGGCTACTTTCTCAGCGGAGCTTATAAATACAACCCCCAACCGGCCAAATGAGGTGTTTGGAGCTAAGAAAACATACCAAGGGTGTTGATACGCTATTTTAGTGATCTTCACTTGCATAGTGCTTATTGTTTGATTAGGTGATTAGCATAGGTGCTTTGCGAAGTGCTTAGGTTGATTAGACCACCGCTTATGCGGTTGCTCTAGGTTTATGCCTAGTGTTTAGTGAGGTTTGCATACCTCTTACCACTCGGTACTTGTGCGTACCATTGTTGTACATCGAAGGGCCTTGTAGTCTTGCGAGATCACACCAACCGCGTTTGTGGTGTGGCCGCCACCGTGTACCGGAGGGAACAAGGCCCGCAGCGTTTTGGCCGGAAACTTGATAGTGAAGACGACAAGGAGCATCCGGGAGGGGCTTGCCGGAAGGCACGTCGAAGACCCACTTGCGCGTGGGGAAGGCCCGAGGCTATCCACGGAGTTACCCGACCGCGAGCTTGACCCTTGCGAGGGCTCCAACGAGGACTAGGGGAAAGCTTGCGCGCTTCTCGATACCTCGGTAAAAATACCGGAGTCGTCGACGGGAGTTTGCATATCTCTACCTTGCGTTTTAGCTTCCGCATTTAAATTGATTGTATTACTCCTTTTATGGTAGAGATAGCAACACACTAGCAAAACCGTAGTTGCACATCTAGATAGTTTATCATTTGCATAGATTTTGCTAAGGTTAGAAAAAGAGGCCATAGTTTAGAGTTAGAATTTTAAGTTGCCTAATTCACTGCCCCTTAGGCGTCACGGTCCCCTTCAAACACTTACAATTCATGACTTTTTAAAAAAAATCTAATATAACTAATTTGATACGCTAAACATTAGTGTATTTTTTTATGAAAATTAGAAAGGTTTGGTTTAGACAAAGTTAAACTAAACTATATAATTTAGACTGAGTCGAGGGACTAAATTTTAGTCCTTATCACATCAGACATTTGGATGCTAATGAGGAGGACTAAACATAAGCTAATTATAAAACAATTTGCACAGATGGAGACTAATTTATGAGACGAATTTACTAAGCCTAAGTAACCTATCATTAGCACATGTTTACTGTAGCACCATATTATCAAATCATGGGCTAATTAGACTTAATAGATTCGTCTCGCAAATTAGTCTCCATCTGTGAATTAGTTTTATAATTAGTCTATGTTTAATACTCTAAATTACTGTCCAAACATCCGATGGGATATAAACTAAAGTTTAAGAGGGGGAATCCAAACACCCCCTATCAAGCCTAACTATTACTCCGGCTTGGAACACACCATTCAAAACTATAGTAACTTTAGTTATATATGTTCTTGGTCAAATAGAAAAAACACACATCTGTAACACAAACTAGTTTCACTTAAAATTGATAGTGAATTCATTTGAACTTATATTTGTTAATGTATTTTCTAAATTTACTTGATCAACATTAGAGAGGTTTGATTCAGAACAAAGCTAAACTTAACTATAATTTGAAATGGAGAAGGTTTTAATTCACTGGAATCGCTTTTGCAGAATAAATGCTGTGGAACCCTGAAATTTCTCTAGAAACACGTAATCCAATATACAAAGCAAGCATGGCAGTTTCGAGAGTCAGCAAAAAAATATCACACTTTTTAGATAATGGAGGATTTTTTAGCTTTTGACATATTCTTGTGAAGATCAGACCATAATTATTAGAAAGAGGTAGCACGTATGGTGAGTAGGTTATGCATGTATATACAATTGTAATCACACAATATTTCAAGCTCAAGTTCAAACTCAAACTCGATTATCCTGTGGTATCTAAATTTGAGTAACAGAGAAAATGTTGAGTTTGATTTGGAAAGTCCATTCCACAGCTAGGATAAAGTTGTATTATTTATTATTGGATATATATGTACCCGGGCCGATCGTTTTGGTTCATATAACGCTTTAGATATTTAGGCCTGGTTTAGATTGAAAAAAATTTCAACCCGATGAATAGTAGCACTTTCGTCTTATTTGATAAATATTGTCTAATCGTGGACCAACTAAGCTTAAAAGATTTATCTCGTGATTTCCAATTAAAATGTGTAATTAGTTATTTTTTTACCTACATTTAATGCTCCATACAAACGGCTAAAAATTGATGTGATGGAAAGAGAGTGAAAAAACTTGGAATTTTGAGGGTATATTCGGTCTTTATCGAAATCGACACTGTCGTCCTTATCGAAATTGGAGATGGTCGAAGCTTTCTAAGTGTCGTCCTTGTCAAGATATCGAAGTATATATTTGACCGTTCGCTCCCTTTGTGAGACTTCTCCGAACTTAGAGTTTAGCATGCAACAATATATGTCTTTATAATACCAACTAGCAGGTAATCCCACGCTTCGCGCGGGCAACAGTGGACGTTGTGAGAGGGAAAAGAAAAAGGGTGGTACTGTTCATCTACAGGAATCTGAGACAGGGCGCGCGCCCGATGAACAGTAGCTACGACGTGACTCGCCTCAGATAGGTGGTGCTGTTCCTTATCGGCGACTGTTCATATGATCCGTTACTGTTCATCTACATGGATATGAGTCATGGGCGCGGACGATGCACAGTAGCTGCGACGTGACTCGCCTTAGATTTATATTCTTTTATAGAAGATGAGGTTCTTCATAACATAAATGAAAATCGTCTATATTAACCTGTCGCATGAAAAGTTCGGCCAATGTGTCACTAGAGTCGTCCAAACTTGTGATCACTTGTTGAGCTAGCTGACCATGTCACAAGTGCATGCCCCGCACGTCGCCATGCTCACGAGCCCCGGCGTGGGGCACGTCGCCCCGGTGGCCGAGCTCGCCAGGAGACTCGCCGCACACCACGGCTTCACCTCCACGATCGTCACCTACACCAACCTCTCCTCGCCAACGAACTCTTCCGCGCTGGCCACCCTCCCACCGGGCGTCTCCACCACCGCGCTCCCGGAGGTGCCCATCGACGACCTCCCCGCCGACGCGCACATCGTGACCCGCATCCTCATCGTCGTCCAGCGCACGCTCCCGCACCTCCGCGCGCTGCTCCGTTCCCTTCTCGACTCTCCCGCCGGCATCACGGTCTTCCTGACCGACATGCTGTGCCCAGCAGCGCTCGCCGTTGCCCAAGACCTCGGCGTGCCGCGATACGTCTTCTACACGTCGAGCCTCATGGCGCTGTCCTCGATGCTCGGCGCCCCAGAGCTCGTCAGAACCACCACATGCGAGTTCCGCGACCTCCCAGAGCCCGTCATCTTCCCGGGGTGCCTGCCGCTGCACGGAGCCGACCTCGTCGAACCCCTCCAGGACCGTGCCGACCCCGTGTACGACCTCCTGGTCGACCTGTGCCTCGACTACCTCCGCGGCGACGGCTTCATCGTCCACACCTTGAACGCCATGGAGCACGAGACTCTGGAGGCGCTCAAAGATCTTTCCGACAAGGGCGTGTACCCTCCGGCCTACGCCGTCGGCCCGTTCCTCCGCTCCTACTCCGACAAGTCCGCCGAGCACAACTGCATGCAGTGGCTGGACGGGCAGCCGGACGAGTCGGTCTTGTACGTGTGTTTTGGCAGCGGCGGCACGCTCTCCAGCACGCAGACCGCGGAGCTGGCAGCTGGGCTGGAGGCGAGTGGGCAGAGGTTCCTGTGGGTTGTGCGGCTCCCCAGCGACAAGGACAGCTGCGGGAGCTACTTTGGCCCCGGGGACCATGTCGACGACCCGCTGAGCTACCTGCCGGAGGGGTTCACGGAGAGGACAAGGGGCACCGGGCTTGTCGTGCCGCAGTGGGCGCCGCAGGTGGAGATCCTGGGCCACCGCGCTGTGGGGGGGTTCCTGTCGCACTGCGGGTGGAACTCGTCGCTGGAGACGGTGTCCTCCGGCGTGCCGGTGCTAGCATGGCCGCTATTCGCCGAGCAGAGGATGAACGCCGTGAAGCTAGAGCACGTCGGTCTGGCGCTGCGAGTGAGCGCCCGGGTGGACCGGGTGGTGCCGCGGGAGGAGGTGGCCGCGGTGACGAGGGAGCTGATGGTGGGCGAGAAGGGCGCCATGGCGCGGAAGAAAGCGCGTCAGCTGCAGGCGGAGGCTTCGAAGGCGTCGGTACCAGGCGGGCCAGCTCACCAGGCGCTCGCTGCCGTCGTCGACATGTGGAAGTGTGCTCCTTCAAGTCCCGCCGTTGCAGCTGGTGGACTGTGATCGCCACCGTATGTTAATGCTTGGGCATGTAATGTATGTATGACATAATAATGCTTGCCAATCGTGATAGTTACATCATCGTAGCATATACGAATCTAATGGGACTATTCACTACGGGAACAGGGCCTTTGTCGAGTGCAATTTTTATTGCCGAGGACTAAAAGTCGGGTTTGTCGAGTGCCGCACTTGGTAACGATATCCACTCGGCAAAGAAGGCTTTACCGAGTGTCAGACATAGGCACTCGACAAAGCCAGACACTCGGCAAAGGTCCTTTTTGCCGAGTGTTAAGCTCTCGGCAAGCCCTGGCGCTCGGCAAAAAGCGGCGTTAGGTAACGGCCGCCGCCTGCCGTCCAGGTTTGCCGAGTGCCAGCGGGTAGGCACTTGGCAAACCATTTCTTTGCCGAGGGCCAGACCCCGACACTCGGCAAAGAATAACGACGAACTTTTTTTTTCCACTTTTGAACTCCAAAATTTTTCTCGAGTCCTCCTACAGTACATGAGACTCCATGTTAAAATTTGGTACATTTTATGGCTTTTTGCTATATTTAGTTAATTTATTTCATTTAATTAAATTTATTCAAAAAATGCAAATTTGAAGTGCACGTGCATCGAATAATGGAATTTAATGATTCAAAAAATGATATTCATGGTATTGAGTGTAGTGTGAGGCCATATCTAGGAATGCATCCGAAATTTCGAACATCTTGTTCACGAAACATGACCACGAACTTGCGAATGAATTGTTTTTAAATTCTATAAAATGCAAACAAAGTCCAAAAATCATGAAACTTGTCGAGATGTCATGATATCGTATGTGGAGGATGTGATAAAAATTTGAGAAGGTTTGGTGCATGTTATCACGTACGATGCTTATAAATCAGGACATCTCCACATGTGATATCACGTCTGACTTATTTCAGATGAGAGGAGGGATCTGAGGCCAGAGCAGATTTGGTGGCTACCAAAGCCTGTAAAAAACTCGTCACCGACATACATCATGAGACGCGCATCCAGGCCATCATAAACCTACTACGGGTCGAAACTTGGAGAGAAGGTCAGCAAAGAAGAAGCAAGAAAGATGACATTGACCCGGGACAGTACCTTGAGGTAGATAAAGAACATTAATATTGATTCATTTTGAGATTAAGTTGGTTTAATTTGATCCTTTTATATGCCAAATACTTGATGATGTGTAGATGTGTCCCTGGTGGTGCTCCACGTATCCCGAGTGCTGGGTGATGATCTTGGACAAGTGGTTCACGCCCGGGTGGGCCAAGACGCATGATGCTGCCCAGGAGCGGCGTTTGCAGATGCAAGGTCCAGCACACCATCAAGGCAACCGCAACCTCGCCGGATACAAACAATTATGGGTACACGAATTTATTTATCTATTCTGACGCTCAATTATGCCTGATTTCTAATCATCTTACTGTCTTTCTCGCAGTCGGAGGCACATGGTGGCCAGCAATGCTCTGACTTCTAGGCATGGTGTATGTCCCACAAGGGCAAGGCGACGTCCGGCGTCTCCTACAACCCGGAGGACCCGCCCGGCAACCCAAGCATCCACACCCGCATCAGTGAGTACACATCGGCGGCAATGTCGGTCCATGGGCCAGAGTACGACCCAAGCACCGAGGACTTTGATGCAGAGATCGTCATGGGGGTGGGTGGAGGCAAGAAGCATGGGCGGTACTGGCTTGGTGACAGCATCATCGACTCGACCTCTACTCCCTCTCTCTCCCTGATCCGAGCACGGAGCACGAGCGCAAGCCCGGCCATACGACCACGGCCAAGCGCTTCACAGCAACGGGTCGACGCACTCGAGGTTATTCCTGTTTTACTCGTCGTACATTGATCTTTACACACCTTAACTAGCTTTGCATTACTGAAACATTAGAGTGAAATATTGCAGGCCCGGCTAGAAGAAGAAGCAAGGCAACGTCAGGACCCGACGGCCTAGCTGTAGTCCGAGCGGGCCGCGCGAGAGGCCTAGGCGCAGAGGATGGCAGAAATGATGCAGTTCATGCAGACTCTTGGACAATATACGGGTCTAGCTATGCCACCTGGGCTATTCGCTCCACCTCCGACTCCTGCAGCTGCAGCTACTCCTGTGAGTTTTCGCTTGTGCTTTGCTTGTATGACCTAGATTAGCTATCCAAGTAATCTTGTCTAACGCATGCAATCTCTTCTCCTTTGTGTAGTCTCAGTCGGAGGGTTCAAATAATCCAGCTCATGCACCTCCGACTGATCTAGCTGTTTCTTCACTAGACACTCAGTTTCCACCTTGATGATGAGTAGCATTAGTTGTATTTGCATTTGTTGTTCACTTGGTGATGGATTTCTGATATACTTGTCATGCACTAGTGGTATATTTGGATAACTGTGATATATGTGATAGATGTTTGGATTGATATATGTGATATATTGTGATGAATGTGATATATGCGATGGATGTGATAAATATGTGATGTATGTTTGGATGGATGTGAGATATATGTGATAATTTGTGTTTGTCGTGATGGAATGTAAAAAATGAATAAAAAAACTGGTTTTGATCAGTTTGCCGAGTGTAATGGTCACTGCACTTGGTAAAGCTGGAAAAATGAGCGCCAACCCGTTTCCCAGCTTTGCTGAGTGCCATGACCATGGCACTCGGCTAAGAATTGTTTAAAAAAAATAAAAAACTTTGTCGAGTGCCACCCATCCAGCACTCGGCAAAGATTTTTTTAAAAAAATAAAAAATAAAAAACTTTGCTGAGAGCCACCCGTCCGGCGCTCGGCAAAGAAATTAAAAATAAAATAAAAAACTTTGTCGAGTGCCATCCCGGGCGGCGCTCGGCAAAGAATTTAAAAAAAATAAAAATAAAAACTTTGCCGAGTACCAGCCCAAGCAGCGTTCGGCAAAGAATTTTTTTAAAAAAATAAAAAACTTTGTCGAGTGCCGTCCGGGTTGGCACTCGACAAAGCCGCCGTCACCGTTTCCTGCGCCGTGATGGCTCGTTTTCTTTGCCGAGTGCTGTCTCGGCACTTGGCAAAAGCTTTGTCGAGTGCCCGACAAATGGCTTTCGACAATGGCTGTTTTGCTGGCCATTATTTTTCTCGAGGTGCCTTTGCCGAGTGCTGCACTACCTTTGCCAAGTGTATTTAGGGCTTTGTTGAGTGCCGCAGGCACTCAGCAAAGCACCTGAATCGAGTAGTGATTATTGTACTATCCCTCCGTAACCTGAAAAAGACATGTTACTACTAGTGTGTACTGTATATCTATACCTATGTCTCCCGAAAGATATGTTGCTAATAATGTGTGCATATAAATATTTGCTTGTGCATCCATTCCAGTCTGAATTCGCAACCTGAAACTAGTTGTACCGCTGATTTGTTTTTTATTTATCCCTGAGAATGTTATTGCCTAAAATCAACAATTATGCATGTACATAGATACATAGATGATTTTATACTCCCATGTGTATTTTCGTTGGAATCTTTCATGTATGAGGTGTTGCCATACGACAATATTATGGGACCGTTTCGCACAACTCGTTCCACGTCTACAATAGATCAGTAAGGCTAGCGCCCGGACCTCTGACATAAGGCCTGCTTCTGGATGCAGCTCCCACGCCTAGTGCTCGCATCGCATCTCACGTGTCCCGTCCCATCCCATCCAGCGCAAGCGTCCGTAACCACACCCCGTGTCCATGCCGTGGCTGCACGGTGGAACCGCATCCAGCGCCCACCTGCCCCACATGCAGGTGCATGCCGCAGAGGCATCTGCTAGCCTCAAGCACCCGCACGAGAACCACGACGGCGCCTTAGCAGCAACAGTACGCAGACGACGGCCTGATCCTAATGAAACATTTGCAACATAAGTCTAAAACAGATGAAACATGCGTGTGTAGCCATTGCATCGTATGGAACATCAAGATCTACTTTTGAAACATCCAGATGAAATATTTGCAACATATACATATAAAATACTTAAAACATAGGCTTACAACATGTGTATTTTGTCCTTGCGACATATGTAACATCCGAGATCTACTTTTACAATATCCATATGAAATACTTGAAATAAAAGTCTGAAACGCTTGAAACACTTGAAGCACAACGTTTGTCTGCGCAGCCACGGCCTACCTATGTGGGAATTGCGGCCAGCGGCGACCTCCTCCTAGTGGCGTCGGGGTGGTGGTGGCGCGGTCCACGCCATGACCACGATGAATGAGGTGGATGGGGGCATGGCGAGGGGCGCTCCGCGCTGTGCTGCGCGAGATTGGGGCGAGTGTGACATGAGATAGGGTGCGGCAGGGGATGGCCACGGCGGGCAATGCGAAGTGAGGCGAGCAGACGGCAAGTCGCGGCTGCCATGAGCGGATGGCGCAGTAGATGCGACTGCTACAGTGCTGATGGCGCGGTGGACGTGGGCGTTGCAGGTAGACGGCGTGGTGAAAATAGTCGAATGGTCGGTGTCGCGATGTAGAAACCATGCAAAGCATTGTTGTTCGTCGGGTGTCACTGAGTGTGGATCTCCGGTGCCTCAGCTGGACTCAAGAACACAGAGAAGACACATCATATATCCTGGTTCGGGCTATCAGGGCCCTACATCCGGCAGTGGTAGTTCTTTGTATCTGAGAGCACGTAAATCCATGGTTTACAACAAGAGTGTGTAAGAGATTTGGAAGGGAATTGCTCGGTGCTATCCTAAGGCTCGTCGGTGGTGAGGTTTCTTCCCCGGCGATGGAGAAGAAGACGGTGGGGGAGGAGCATTCGGTTGCTTCTCTCTGGGTGGCTCTGCTCTCGGTGCCGAGCTCAGAGTTGTCGCTGAGGACTCTGTATCATCTCATTTTTGTCCTCCCGCCCTCTGTAGGATCCGACCTTCCCTTATAAACCATAGTAGGTCGGGTACAATGCGGTTTGAGGGGCTTAGTCTATGGTCTACATGCGCCGGAGCCTAGGAGGTTGCTGCTACGACATTGATGGACCTCAGCATTGTTGTGGAGTCGAAGGA